TCAAATAATTACATAATATTTCTGTAATATTCAACAATAATGAGAAAATAATCATAGTTGTTCATAATATGCATCATTTTTCAATTCATATTACTGAAAAAATAAAAAAATGGCTTTCACTAGCATATACAAGAAAGAAGATTAAAAAAAAAAAAAAAACTCAAAACAACCAAAGTGATAGGTTGAGGGAGCCTTACCTATTGTGGCCTACGTGTTTCAAGTAAGATTCCGTCAAAGATTTTAGATCTGAGACAATACACGCAAGAAACATCTCAGATCGCAAAAAGAAAGTGTCAAATAAAAAMWAACGGAGGATAAATCACATCCTGCCCGTGAATTTGGCATCAATTCACAGTTAGGATGCATTCCCCCTGTACAATGGGGGCTATAAAATTCTGATCTGGGCTGATTGGTCATTTTCCCAAAAAAAAAACAAGTTGGGAACGAGGATGATTGACTAGAACTGAAAAATGACCCACCCACCAATTGATTTTTTGTATTCAAAGTCGTTGCCGGTTTCCCTCTGAGATCTTGTTGCCACTGCCCTGCTCGAATTGGGCAAATGGAGAAGACAAGGGTTTTCTCCATTTATGGGGGTAGTTTGGTCATTATGAAATTTTTAAGAGACTAAACTGTCCTAGATTTTTTGAATAAGCACTTAAAAAWCCACATTCAACATATTTATTTGTTAAATACTTTTTTTTTGAAAATAAACACTTATACTTGACTTATTTACCAAACAGGTAAAAGTGCTTTTTTTCTACTTAATATGTGGTCCCATCATTTCTTTTTAAGTACTTATAAAAATTTATAATAAGTACTTCTTACCAGTAAAATCAAGCAGGCCCAAATAGACTCCAACCCGGACGATTGAACCTCTTGGACTATCACTTAGATCCAGTATATGAAAATCCCAAACCGAATACTCAAGTCAATGGGACTGTTGGCTGTATTAACTGTTCTGAACACTGTTAGAAGTCACACCCGATTTTCTGCCCTCTGCCTTGAATTGCAGGTACAGATGGCCTTATGAGATGTACGGCTGTTGGGTAGAGAAAGTGAGTAGAAAATCTGGGTTCCTAAAAGCTGATTTTAGGAAACATAAACCAGTTCAACCAAAACACTAACTGATTATAATTAAATAAAAAAAAAACTATAATTAAACAAAAAGACGATGCATGTACAAACGTTCAAACCTCTCAAGTTTTTTTACAATTGTCATCGCCATTAAATATTGATAGAAAAAAAAAGCAAAATATCAAATTTATCCTTCATTATTTCTCAATTTTTCAAAATAAAATCTAACTAATGACCGACCCGTTTTACAAGAGAAGGAGATGTAGAAATTCTGGAAGCAACAAAGAACATAGCAGAGCTCAGATGTTGATGTGCTCCAAAATCTTCAAACAAGTCGTACCATCATCAGCCCAATGCCCCAATCAGAAACTAATCCGAGACAACTGCATCAATCTTGCATGAACCATAACTGCATCAATTTTTGTACATAAGTCATCACCAAAAGCCCATCTGCTCTCAAAACGATCCAATCATATAGATCAGTATAATTTGGATTTTCAAGTGGTGAGCATGCCGAAACATTATTTAGATTTTCAAGTGGTTTCCGATTTAATACTTCTACATTGTTGGAATTCTAAGCAGGGCTATGMACGTGACAGTATCTTTAAGACAAAACTATTTATAATTCATAGACAGTTTCTAGACAGTTGTGAATTGTTTCTAGTGAGTTATAAGTGCACAGTTTCTAATATGAGAGTAAAGGACATATATRCCCTTTTTATGCCCATTGTATGTTTAGACAAAGGGAATAGAAAACGTTCAATGAAAATTCTAGAAAGAAGAGACATTCACTCTTTTATAGATAGTATATATATATATATATATAATATACATATAACTTAAATTTTCTCCCCCACCCCCTAATTTGTTACTTGACATTGCTCATATTATTTCCTTGTGGGTTTGTATGCCTGGGTATTTTGGAAATTTGGGGTTTTCATTTGTTTTACTTCTTTGCCAATGTAATTGGAGTTGGACAACCAAATTATGAAAACATACTTGTTTTTACTTGTCAGCTAGGAGGCATGAAGCATGGTGACCCRGATGACATTTACATTGCAGTTGAAGACTCTGGATCTCCTGCCAAGAGAACTCTGCCCACACCTACCCCATTACACTACCCCCCAAAAGAAAATTCTCATATTTGTTTTACTGAGCAATCAGAGCTGGTATGGGTTGGATTTTGGTCATACCAACGCAAGGATACCTATCTTCAATTCTAATCCAACCCAACAACCCTCAACCCAATGAGCCCAACTTGATCTTAGAATACATTGATCTCCTAGGTTCAAATTAATACAATATGTCTGATATCAGTATCTGAGGGCATGAATACATGGCACAATCAAGGTTTGAAATATTGCAATATATCGGTATGTATCAAATTTTATGGCATTGCTATGTGCTTTATTAGACTTTTTAGGGATTCATTCATTAATAGATGTTGCATCGTATCTAATATCTAATCTACAACAGGCTGAATCCATTATACATTGCTTATTTGAATGTGAACATGTCAAAGCAACCTGGTTCAGATCCTATCTGAATTTCTTGGGATTTAGGAGAGGACCTGTTACTTCTCTCAATCAGTGGCTCTCAATTTAGTTGGATTTGTGCTTAAAAGATGGAAATAGAAAGGATGAACTGCTTTTATTTTCTTTTCTATTATTATGGAATATTGGAAGGCTARGAACTGCAAAATTTTTAAGAATACAACTCCGTTACTTAGATTCACCCTTGTTGTATCTTACAGGATGTGGAGAGGGAGAGAGAGTGATGATTTCCCAAGCAGAATTGTGAGATTCTTCTCTTCAACATCCAAGCTTTAGCAAGCAACATTTTACTTTTTGGGAAGCACCAGAAATAGGGAAACTCAAAATGAATGTAAATGGGAGTTTTTTGTGTCCTAGGAATTCAGGTTTTAGTGCAATACTAAGGAATGCTAATGGAACAGTGATAGCAGCAGTTTTTGGAAAATCAGATTTTTCTCCCATCCAAGCAGAAGCAATGGCGATTCTCAACAGTTTAGAAGTTTTAAGTATGTGAAAGAASATATATCAGTGGAATCTGATTGCCAAACTCTGGTGTAGGCTTTGAAGATAGAAAACTTCGATATGGCTTTGGATGCAAACTTTTTGTGCATGGATATCAAATTACTGACTGAAGACTTAATTAGACCTTAACTTGTAATGTTTTGTTATGATGTTACTTGTTTTAATATATATTCTCTTGTTAGTTTCTACCAAAAAAAATATCCATTGTACAACCATAAAAACAAAAAAAAATAAAGTAAAAATAAAGTAGAGTTTGGATGGTTCCGAGTATCAACTTTGAACTTGGGCACAAGGGTCATTTGAGTGTTAATGAACCTATGGTGGCGGTCATGACCACCACTAAAATTTTTGGTGAGGGTCATGACCACCCATAAAAGTTGTTGACAGTAGGCATAAGTCAACAATTGCTATTTAACTATTTATCCAAACTTTTTGACAGTTTTTTAGGCTGTACTGACAGTTCACACTACCAAAATATATCAATTGCAGTCCAAACTTGTCAGATCTTTGGATTTTTTATGAGAAATTGAAAAATCCAAAAACTTAAAAAAATTTTGTATTTGCTTTAAATGGGTTTCATTGCAAAAATGAACTATAAGATGAATCTATCTATCAAACTCATTAATGACAACAATTTAATGTGCCTTGTGATGAATTTTTAATGGAATAGAAGCTTAAACACTGTTTGATAACTTTTTTAGGCTGTCCTAACCGTTCACATTACCAACATATATCTAATTACACTAACAGTCCAAACTTGTTAGATCTTTGGATTTTCCCCCAATAAATTGAAAAAACCAAAAACTAAGAATTAATTTTTTATTTTCTTTAAATGGTTTTCATTGCAGAAATGAACTATAAAATGGATCTATCTATAAAACTCATTAATAACAACAATAATGCGCCTTGTGATCAGTTTTTAATAGATTAGAAGCTTAAACATTGTTTTATATATTGTACGATATCTACATATTCTACACTCCTGGTATTGTTGATTGTAATGCATCATTATATAAAGTATTGAAGTACGCATTCTTCATGTGTCTGTATTTTATTCATAGTTATTTATACCTTAGATTTAGTGATACTARCTTATTTGTGAAATTTGTAAAAGTTTTTTTGACATATCTAAGTAAAATCTGATGGTGTACAATCTAGTAGCTCCCAGCTAGAAAGATAACTACAAGAAAACAGTCAGAGTACCTGAGGTGAGTACTCGGATGCCCAAGTCATCGAAGAATTTAAGAATGCTTGAAAGCGAGAGCACTTAAAGAGTAGAAGCAAAATTGCAAGTACTTTTTCTAATCAATGGAATGCCTTTATGTAGGCAAAGGTTGTCGTGGCCTTCACATAGCACGTCCAAGATCTCCGAGAGGATGTGGCTTACTGGCCCGCCTCACTCGGAGGCRGTTTCACACTCAGAGTTAGATTCCATGTAAAGCGACAAAACTTATTCAATTGCTTTCAAAGCAGGGGGGACAAGAGTTGACTCAGTTAGTAAGGAACGTGATCCCGAAAATTTCAAAGACGATAGTCCACGTGTAATGGAAGTCAGCCACCACATCATACAAATCACCAACTAGACCTCAATCAGATCGACGAAGGAAGGTCACCTCTTACGCTAACCTGATCCTGTCAAGGCATCCACAAATCGACCCTACCATGGTGGTATTAGGACAATTAAGACAGGTGAGGTGTGCTTTAAGTGTTTTTAAAATTATTGCCCATATGGCGTTGAGGCATCATGAGATAATTCCGGGGTGCCACGTATCACAATGTCACAGGAGGGCTAAATCACCCCTCATCAAAACCATATCTTTCCACCTCATCCAAATGTATCCAAAGCATATTGTGATACACAGCTACATCTAAACTAAGCAATACAATACATAATACCGATATTTTGAACATTGCTCAAATCGGTCAAGGTCTGATTCCCGAGTTGAACGATTTAACCGCCCAAGTCAGCAGTTTGTTAACCAAAGCAACATTTTTTGGAAAAAAATCTGATTTTGGTGAAAAACAGAACCAGTCGTCTGACCGGTTCCCAATTTTTCCAGTCCGACCATCCAGTCCGATCCGGTTTTGAAAAACATGTGTACCTATGTTGATGTTGTGTGTGTACATGGATGCACATTTGAAGTTTGTAAGGCTTAATCAACCAAGACCAATCCTCTCTTTATGTATTGAACACATGAGAATGGCAAGTTGAGAACATTTTCAACTTCAAGAGATTTGGATAGGAGAGTTTTGTAAACCGAATCCCTGTCTGGAGTCATGCCACCCACCCCAAAACCTCTGCATACGACAAGTGACGAGTTGCAGAGCCAAGGAACAGAAACAATGAAACCCAAGCCCGAGCCCTCCTTCCCACCATGATTACTTTCATTCCCAGCCAATACATCCTTGTATGCCCTGCAGACTCGTGAGACATACTTTCCCATGGGTAATATTTGGTCGAAAATGAAAGGAACACAACCATCAGAGCTCAAGATATCAGAATCCGAGTGAAGGTTCACCACGACAGTACCATGCTCAGGATGAAGCCTGTCCCTAAGAGAGTCAAGAAATGGGCCTTTTGGGTCCCAAAGCTTGTGGGGAAAGATGTCATCGCCATCATAAGCATCAATAAAGACTAGATCATAAATGTTACTTGTGTTCTGGATGAACTTCTCTGCATCTGCCTCGTAGAGGAAGAGCCTCTCGTGGATTCCTTTCCACAATACTTCATCTATAGGATTAGGTTCCAGGAGTGCACGTTCACCGGATGGCTTCACCACTGCAAATGCTGGGAAACCCATTGCTTGTATTGAAGCTGAGATAACAAGGGGATCAATTTCGACAATATGGACAGTTGCACCTGAAGAAAGCATGATTTTAGGATTCAGCTTCATTAATAGGGCAATAACATCAAAAGAAATGTGGCTAGACATTTATAAGATGGCATTTGGATGCATAACTGCATCGTCTAAAATATAGTCATCAGAGAAATGTTGGCAATAGAAATGTGGTCATTTTAGAATTTGAAGAAATTAGGTAATATTTGTTTGTAACTTTCCAGTGATGAATCATTTTATATGAATTTATGTTGCTATAAGAAACAAAATGGTCTTTTTTTAGTGAAACAAAATGAAGTGTTAATGCTTCTTTTTCATCACCTGACTTCAATATCTATGAACCCAGGAGATGGAGATATTCAGCTTGGATGCCAACCCTCTCACCTCTTTCAGAACAGAACATAATCCCCATGGCTCACTCAACAAAAGTGAAGCAAAATCATTCGTTCCACATGGTCCTCAAACAAACCCCAACTTTTATGCGTTGACAATAGAACACTGAAAGTGTATTGCAATAAATTCCAAAAGATTTTAAGACACCATTGACAAAGAGCCACAAGATAATGTGAAGACATTAAAATACTTCTCTGAACTAAATATGTCATGACAAGGTCCTCAAAAATTTGACTAAGGGCTTTCAACCAGATGACAATTAGAACTTAATGAGAAGTAAATTAAGTTCAATCTTCAAGTACATCAACCCCAGACCTGCTAATACAATATACAACATAAAAACCTGGACATATATTATTTTGTGAATGGAATTTAACATCCATCTACCAGTGATGTACAATTTCTTTCTTTCTTCCCTTTCCCTTTTTATTTTCTTATAGTTGGTCAGTTAAGTGAAAAATAAATTATAAATGAAACATATGATGCAATGCATAGCATAGCTTAGGTGGTATTTAATAAATAACAAATGTAAACCCTGATCCCAGAGACTTCACGCAGATCAAGATCAATCCTAACATGTGAATCATCAGGAAACTGTTCCAAGACAAGCTAAATAATCAGCAACTTATATTTCCAAATTTCCAGGTATTGACAACGAATATGCTGGAGTATAGTGTAGCAAAATATTAAAGGACTTCTGCCATGATAAAGAAAGTATCACATGGAAACCAGCCAAAGACAAGATTTCTACTTAGAAGCAAGTAGAAAAGGAATAAGAGAAGCATATCGTTACACTTGCACCATCCATGAACTTAATGTAAAATGACCAAAAGGACCAGCAGTAGCCAAATACATGAAACTAAAGAAAGGGAAAAAATAGCTATCTTGACTTATTTCTAGTATCATTTGAGTTACTAAAGGAGCCCAAACCATCACCATGCAATAAAATAACTGTTTGGCCAGTGTACCCCTCTGGTTAAAGTTTTTAAGGGGGTAGGGGCTTTATGGTATTCCACGCATACTCTTACATATTGGTTTGTTGCTTCTTTTCATGATCCTTTTTTTTTTTGCTTTTTTTGTATGCAGATGAGAAAAAAGGTTTTCTAGATGAGTTACCAAGATCTCTTCAGTAGGAATTCTTTCCTATTTCAGTTACCTGAGGGAATTTGTTACGACTGTCACCTGAGGATGATTAGACCATTTATCAGGAGTCAGGACTTCCTCTAAATAGCAAGAAAGTTCAGTGCCAAGTCCATTTGAACTGTATACCATGAGTTGGGTTTTTCATTTCTCCAACCAAGACCACCCTTGGATCTTAATTTTTAATTCCAGAAATTTCCTAAAAGGGCCTTCTTTTGCCATGTAGCCTGGGTGCCAACCTGAATCTGCTACATGAAGAGAGGATGATAAGGCAAATACACGGAACCCATTTGGGTCACCACCAAGCTGTCACATGGACATCAGTCAATCATCTAGATCTCTGCTTTCTGAATGACACCTAGCAAGCCTGTTTTTAAATTTAAATTAGCATATCTTTAGGTTTATTTCTTCCAGCTTTTTTTACATTTGCTGTACATCTTCCTTCCTTTTTATATTTGTTTTTATGTATGATCCATAGAACACATTTCATGAAATTATATAATAAGAAGTAACTTTTGCTGGTAGATACCAAGAGGTGCATACATAATGACAAACAAGACATCTCCTCACCTTGGATTTTAGTAGCTAAAAATAGAGGTAGACTTCCACCACCATGACCAATGCATAGAATATTCATATTTTTTTTGCCTTGAACTGCACTGGTGATATCATAATGGCAAGACAATAAGGTGGCCAATCCAACCGAAATCATGCTTTTCAGATCTGCAGAAGGGCACAATGTATCTCAAAATCTAGCACAAGATAACACAACATTGATGGTAATTATGAAATATTTCCGCTCATAGAAAGATGTTTGCATAAGCCATTAATAGATGCAGGCAGGATGAGAAATATACAGAGAAAATGTAAATAACAAAGATTGTAGACAGGACCAAATACATGTCATGCTTGACACAAAGTGAAAAACAATAAACTATCAAATTCTTGGCATGTCTAATGGTATGCATCTCTGCAAGACTGTTTGATCTGCTGTTTGCTCAACAACAGAGCCGCCACCTTGTGGATTTTATGGGAGGAGAGAAATGCTAGAACATTTCAAGAAAAGGAAAGAAGTCTTGCTGAAGTCAAGGAATGTATATTGACAAAGACAATCTCATGGCTGAAATCTTCACAATTGTTGGTAGATTTCTCCTTTGATGACTTAAAGAGAAATTGGGAAACAATGGCTTCTACAGTCTCCACTAAGAACAAATTACAAGTTGAATGGAAACCCCCACCGGATGGACTGGTAAAATTGAACTTTGATGGCAGCTGCAAAGGTAACCCAGGGCCATCTGGAGTTGGAGGAATTCTGAGAGATAAAGACAGCAATATGTTGTCTCTTTTCTCAGGACCAGTGGGTGAAGGTGATTCTATAAGGGCAGAGCTACTAGCAGCAGTACAAGGTATACAAATGGCTAGTCAATTAGGAGTGAACAATCTGTTAGTAGAAGGAGATTCCAAGGTAGTAGTGGGCTGTCTGAATAGCACAGACACAGTTTGTTGGGGCTACAGGGATCTGTTAAAGAAAGTTAAATGGATGACAAGAAATATGACTGTTAGGTTCCAGTGGGTTAGCAGATCAGCAAATGTAATGGCCGATTCTCTGGCCAAGCAAGGGGTGTCAAGGGGTGATCTGTTTTGGGCTGCTTTGTAATTTGTATCTAAGGTTTGGGCATGTTTAGTGTTTATGATTCAGTCCTTGGGGGAGGTAACATCTCGTGCCTCTTCCTAGGCTGCTTGTATTTCTGATATTTATTTCAATAAAATTACTCTTGTTTATCAAAAAAAACAACAGATCATATCATTGTGTCGTTTTCTTTCACCAACAAAGACTCTTTGATCTGTTGTTTGCTCAAAACAGTTTGCTCCATAATAATGAAACAACAAGTGGTTATCAAAGATCAAAGAAAATTCACTAATGCTGGCCAGAATCTAGAAATTTTATTAAAGAATGAGAACATTTCCAATGCTGATCCTAACCCAGCCCGCTTTAAGGTGCTCTTGGTCACTTCTTCGACAGACAGTTGAAAGATCAAATTGATGCTTCATTAGGAAAGAATAAGCAGTTATGACCATGTTGGGGCTTCATATGCAATCCATGTGGCAGAGCACTATTCAGTTTCTTCTCCCCCTCCGATCAATTTGGTGGAAGCTACTTGCAAAAAAGTTCAGCTCACATCTCAAAATGAAATGAAATGGATCATCAGAAAAAGTAAATAAAAAAAGAAGAATCATTATACACACCTTTTTATGAGTATAATAAAAAAATATATTAATGCATGTTTAAAGGTGTAGAAAAATGGCCTGAAGCCAGGCAGGAAACTTGGAAATATACAATATATATCCACTTCTTTCTAGAGACTAGCAAACTTTTAAGTTCTAAGGCATCTTAATTATCTGGGGGGAAAAGGTATCTTAAATTCCAGCATAGCAATATTCTACCACTACTGGCTAGTATAAAAGAATTCCAAGTTGGAATATGGCATAACTTTATCCTTTTACCAGTAAAAATAATCAACATTTTAAATTGCAAAAATGAAGTCCTATTTTGACCAGATTAGCACTAAAAGTAACAATTTTGATTGGTCATGGATATGTAACACTATATTTTGACAGTAAGTTAAATAATGTCCACCACATTCATAAAATTGACCTAAATTACTGAGTAGTAAACAATTTTATCTAACACAACTGAAGCCAAGGAATAGTAAAATTGACCCATGAAAATTCTCACAGTTACTCAAATTGCCTATGCCTCTTTTCTATTTCACAAGTCCTTTGTTGATGTAGCATGTGATTCAATGCCTTGGCTTCATCAGAAAGGCAGAAACTTCTTTTAAGTTTATAAAGCTTTTAAAGCATAGATGAAAAAGGTAATGTAGAATTCCTTGTTAGGGTTGTTGTTAATCCAAGATTTTCTTGCTGGGCTAATCTTAGGGAAGCTCATTCAATCCTCTTTCCATGGTTATCCTGCAATAAGCTACGTATAGAATGAACATAAAAAGAGGGAAGCAAATCAAAGAAGATAATTCTTGAATAGATATGCATATGCAAGCACCTGCACGCACACACACACATAAGGAAAAAAAAGCCTTAAAAATCAGATAATAAAACTGTTAGCATTTCCGTGGAGTGACTTCAAAGCAAAGTATTGACAAAAAGAAAGTGGAGGAATTTACATGGAACGGCCAAGCAAYTTGCCTGCTGCATAAAATATACAGTGCCAGGGTCAGAGTTCCTATATGTAGCCATTAACTTAACTGTACTTTGGCGAGTAATGTCATTAAAGCGAAGTACACGCCATTGATAACCCAGTATCCTAAACTGCTCGTTGTGTTCATCTGGATGCATCATTGCATACCTTTTCTGAAGCCATTTCTCCATTGATGGCCAATGAACTGCACCCTGCAGCAAAATGTAACATAAGCTTTCATCAAAGTATGTAATTAAGACAATTGACCATGCTTCCAGTAACACAGTCCAGATGAATCCTGCAGGCTGAAATATACCAGTAAGTTCAAGTATATCCACAAGGGTAAGGGTAAAGCGACCAAGTGAGCAAGCAAATGAAAGAGATTAAAATAAGATCGATTCAATTAAACATGTAATGTGTGAAAAGTGTCGTTAATATTAGATCCACATCTGCATTCAAGCATTAAAAAGTTCGCAAAAATCACTTATAGATTAAACCTGTCAATCAGAACTTCTAGAATTAGTGTCAAAAAAGTTTACAGGCTATCAATTGAGATCGTAAAATCCATTTTTCATAAAATGTTTATCCTGCTAGTTAAATGCATTTCATATTTCAATTGGAATCTATCATCAATCTAGAGAGAAAGACACTGGAATCTGCTATACCATTCAAGACAACCCACGGTGCAATATGTTGATTGCTGACAAATAATGATCAACATTACCACAAATTCAAAAAAAAAAAAAGGCCAAGAAACTGACCGGTCTCGAAGAAGGATATGCAACAACAGATACAACGCCGTTTCCTTTGTCGGAAGTTGATCGAAGAATAGCATGCCCATCGGAATCCGTTCCCCACCATTCGGAAGAGTAAAACCAGTCCCCTTCGTCTTCGAGATTGCGTCGAGCCGCAGAGGAGTACCAACGGGTTTTACTTCTTAAGCTAAATCTCGCTATTCGCCACATTACAGAGACTCCAATCCCCAAATTCCCGCCAAACCATACGAATTCCAACCACGAAACTACTACTTGGAGCTCGCTTTCGCTCTCTTTCTTGTCTTTCTGGGGTCCAATTTCGTCACTTATTACTCACCGTCAGCTGAGCTCTTTAAGCGTAACGGATTAAATTACCAAACCCTAAACCCTAGTCATTTTACGGGCCTAGTAGTGGGAAAAAGAAGTGTTTGGGTACATGGATGACACGAGAAATGAGACTGATCAGATCAGCCTTGAGGGCTGACCGGCTAAGGCCTGAATTGCTGAATCTTCCATCTAAAGTAAGGGTTTGTTTGGCTACGGAAGTTTGAATTTCCTGACAAAATTGGTGGCCTCTTACAGCTGAATTGGCTGAACTTAATTGCTTATCAATTTGTTTTAATGAATAAAACAATTTTTGTGGTTTTACATACCAATTCTCCACAAGCAACCCTTTCTTAGAATTTCCTTCGCAGAACATATGCTACACCATCCCCAAGATAAGTCTCTGGGGACTTTGGTGGTGAGGAAAGAATCTCTAGGAAAGTATATAGCCTTAAGGTCCAGTTCCTCTGGATGCTCCAAGCTTGTCTAGCCAGGACTCTCCAATTGATTCAGTAAATCTTCTTCATGTGAGTAGAATCACCCTAATAAAACATTCTCTGAAGATTAGAAATATTATTACACACTGGTTTTGGTAAGAGGAACCAAGACATGTCATAAATAGGTAATGCTAATTGCTGAAGTCACAGACTGAACAAGGACCTCCTTACCAGTAGGAGAGAAGGTTTGATTCTTCCACCTTGAACTCTTTTTTCTACCCTTTCAGTGATAAAGCCAAAGGTGTTCTGCTTTGACATTTGGATTTCCGAGGGGAGCCCAAGGTAGAAGCTTGGGTGGTTGACCCTTTTCATACCCAAGCATCTAGCAATCAATCTTTGGAATCCCACAAGGGTGTTCTTACTAAAAAAAAAACTTTAGATTTATACAAATTAATCTTCTAGCCATAAACCTTTTCATAGAAATCAAGAGAAGTTAGAATTTCATTTGCTTCATCCAARTTTTCTTTAGAGAGAAGAGAGTTGTCATCAGCAAAAAAAAAAGGTGGGTAATAACAGAGACTATGTGATTCACTTTCAGACCTAAAATAGCTTTAGTGCTTGCTTTTGAAGTTAGGGTAGCTGAAAGAGTCTCATTAACTAGCAAAAGTAAATAAAGAGACAAGGATCGCCTTGCCTCAAGCCCCTCGAAGGATGGATAATACACCCAGGATAACCATTAAGAAGCACTTTGTAAGACATTGTACTAACACATTGCATAAGCCAATTCCTCCAAACACGGCCATACCCCATTTTAAGCATGACCTTATCCAAAATAAAAAAAAAAAAAAAAGATCCACTAAACTCTATCATAGGCTTTCATCATATCCAACTTCAGAGCCATGAATCTACCTTTGTATTTGGATTTGTTTTTCATGAAATAAAGAAGTTCATTGGCTAGGAGGATGTTGTATGAGATCTGTCTATTTAAGATGAAGGCACTTTGGTTGATCAGGCTTATCAAGTTGTCCATTACTTATTTTAATCTGTTAGCCAAGACTTTGGATATGGTTTTATAAGGGGCAATGCAGAGGCTAATTGGCTTGAAATGAGAGACTAGTTCCAAATTGTTTACCTTAGAATTGAAGAATTCATAGACTAGTTTCAACATTCTCCTTAGAATTGAAGAATTCATAGACTGCCTCCAAGACATCATTCCCTACAATTTTTCAATATTTTTGGAAAAAAGGTTTGGTAACCCATATAGTCCGAGAGCTTTGGAGGGAGCCATTTGATTCAGGGTTGTTACAATTTCAATATTTGTAACTAGTTGCTCAAGGAATAAGCTTTCTTTCTCAATGAGATGAGAGGTAATGTTGTTGAGAATTTGGTCTACATCCCTGGAGCCAGAAGTAGTGAAGAGATTACTAAAGAAACCATGCAAATACTGCACAATGCTATCCTGATCTCTAAGCCAACAACCATTTTCATCTTTTATACCATGGATGAAATTTCTCCGTCTCCTTTAAATTGTAGAGGCATGAAAGAATTTTATGCTATCGTTACCCCATTGGAGCCAATTGATTCTAAATTTTTGCTTTTAAAAATTCTCTTCTTTTTTTAGTTTATCATGGAGGCACTTCTCCAAGGATCTTATATATAGTCTCATCATCAACTCTTACAACAATATCATTTTGAGCTTTTTTTTTTCTTTTGATTCATCTGTCAAAGCCTAAAAAACAAAAACAAAAAACAAAGCACAGAAACCAAAAGACTCAAACCAAAATTAAACGATGGGTGACTAAACTCTCTAGGAGGTATAAGAAATTCTCTATACCAAATCTTAGTGCTCCAAGCTATATTAGTCATAAAATCGGCACATCTGTTGGAATGTGAAGCATCTTCTGCAATTTTAACATTATGGGAAATGTTTTCAATGACATTTTTATTTCAATCCTTGTTGTTGGTTCTAGATTTTTTTTTTTTTCCAGCTTGCTTGTACATTATAGAGCCTTCATGAAAAAGGCTCCAAGCTGAACCCACTACAGATTCACAACAAGAATGAGAGCACCAAGCCTCTTCAAACCAAAATGGCCTAGGTCTCAAGACTCTTTGGCAGTCCAAACCCAATAGGATAGGGTTGTGGTTAGATTTGGATTTGGCTACGTGAGTAAGAGAGACATTTTCAAACCACTTCCTATATAAATCTTTGCTTTAAGTTGACTTCATTGTTCTTTTATCTCTAAGTAGTGTACGAGCATGTGCTTTCTTTTCTTTTCTTTTCTTTTTTTTTCTTTTTACTCCAAAAGCCAAAAAAAATAAAAAACTGAGTGTGTGCTAAGTGCAAAAAAAACATTAACCAATATGATATATGGGATTTGGATTTAACTTTTATAATTTACATAGAACCCAATACAAGTAGATAACTAATTATTTTACATAAATCACTTCTTATATTAGTCTTTATTTTAAGTTGCTTTCATTATATTTTTCTTTAAAGTATAATGTAAAAGCACATGCTATGCACAATTACAACATTAACTATATATGATATATGGGATTTGGATTTGAATTTTATGACCTATACAAAATCCAATGCAACTATCTGCTTTATATAGATGGTTGGGATGCATGATGTTGGAATGGAATAATGAGTAATTGGTATAATGGTAACATCTAAGGCCGGCAAATTTGAGAATGCGAGTTCTAATCTAAGGCCAAGTTTGAGAGTGCATATTCTAAAAATAAGTGCTTAGAAACAAGTGCTTATTAGAATAAGCACTTATTTGTAATTGGCACCCAACATTTTCAATTGCTTATTTTAAAAAATAAGCACTTATTTCATAATAGGTGTTTGGTAGTCTATATCTTTAATAAGCACTTATTCATTTTAAAAGACAACTTTAACCCTCGTTTTAAGAATGCCACAACACAAAGGGCAAAATCATATAGATTGGGTTGACAGTCATAAGAAAAAAATAATGGTGATCGACACCATGTGTAGTACTCAATTTTGAAAACGAAAAAAATAAACTTAGAGAGGACTTCACCTACCTGGACGTAGATACAACTTCGAGCTTAGAAAACCCCAACCTTGGTATTCACGGAGAAAAAAACATCTGGTTTGGTTTGAAGAAGAAAACAAAAAATAAAAAATGAGAACAAAAACACTTACATGGTTAATCAGCTGAGGAGGAGAAAATGAAAATAGAGGATAACTTAACCAACCTGGCCGTAGGAACTATAGGGATGTCAATGGGTCGGGTTAAATGGTAGAGCCGGCTTGACCCAACTCTATACGATTGGGTTAAGGTCAAACATATTCGGCTTTAGGGTTGGGTTAGGGTTTTGGTTGACCCGCTTGTCGGGTCATGATACCTTACATGTATACAAAGTATTCTTGCAACTTTGGACTTCTATCTCTATAGCCTTAAAGAGTTAAAGTTTAAGGTTTATTTACACGTTAATTTTGGTGTTCTTTGTATTTTAGGAAAATGACACCTTAAAATCTATAAAACAATTTCCTAGTTTAAATTAATGGATTTTAGGTCTTCAAAATGTGTTAAGAATGTACAGTTGAAATGCTACAATTTGGGTCGGGCTGGTATTGGGTTAAGCCCTATAGGGTTGGGTCAAGTTCAGAAATTATGCATTTTTTAGCCGGGTCAGATCGGGTTTGGGTTGGGCCATTGGAGGGTCGAGTTAGGGTTGAGACAAACCCGTGCCAAACCCAACCCATTGACATCCCTAGGAACCAAGATTCAAAATATCGATACGCCCGATTCATCGATAAGGACATATCGGGCAAATCGATACTATTTTTTTTGCTTATTTTTATTTTTTTTTAAACTAGTTCAGGGGGGCCGGTTTAGGTTCCTCCACCCCTGAACCAATCAAATCCCCGATACACCCACTATAGGGGCGAATTAATGGGGTCCCAAAACGATACTTATCGACCGGTACGTATCAATACTTTGAACCTTGCTAGGAACCTATGGTTTGAGATGTAGTTCTGCCGCTAGTGTTTGGAGAAGACAATGGAAAAGAAACTATCGAAGAGGCAAACCCTATATTTTTAGTTGACAGAAAGGCATAAGTAGTATTTTTAAATCTAATCGAAGAGTATCTTGGAATCAAAATTTTGAATAAGTGCTTATTGTATAAGCACTTTAAAAAAGTTGGAATTTTGGGCTTCTTTAATAAGTACTTATTTTTAAAATAAACACTTATTTTGGGCTTATTTCCCATACACCAATAAGTGCTTATTGGTGTGATCTTGGCCCAAAATAAGTGCTCGTTSAAATAATCGCTTATGCACTCCAAAACTTGGCCTAAGAATGAACATCCATTGGTTATCACTTTCATATGATATTGATTGGTTGGTTATAAATTTTTATGGTGTATATCTTTCTAGTATCATAGTTTGACCCTCTATTAATAAGGTTATTGCAATTGATATATATATATATATTATATTAGACATATATGTTTTTGAGTTTAATTAAATTGTTTATGCATTAACTTGAGTTCTTGTTTTTGTTTACAAAGACAAATGCATATACATTGCCAAACACCCCCCAAGTTAACTTAAGTTTTGGGTTTCTAGCTCCCATTACAAATTATAATTGTGAAATTTATCGTCTACCCCTCATAAATTTTCATTGGTTTTCTAAATGTATTGTCCCAAACCCCCAATTAAATTGTGATGGATTCCCCTTGGCACTGTTCCTAAATGTACGAACCCATCAAGATTCATGAAGTGGACTAAACAATAAATTTGGCAATATAATTATTTCATATTTTTAATAAATAATTAGGGGTGTAAATAGATCGAAATTGAATCAAATAAGGCAATATCTGAATCTGATTATAAAATTTGATATTCAAATTCAATTTGATTAAATATTTGAATATTCGATTTGATTGATTTATTATTTTAAATAATTAATAAATATATAAAATAAAAATTTTAATTATAAAATATTTAAATATTTTTATATTATATATAAWAATTAAGTAATCGATCAAATTTAAATACTTATCAAATCAAATCAGGTCATATTCGAATTCGATTTGATTATTTAAATGGTATGAATAGAATATTCAAATTCGATCCATTATGATATTCAATTATATCAAATTATCGAATTCAAAATTAAATTTTCAAATACCATTGACACCCCTATATATAATAATACAATTTATATTAATGAACTCATTTGCATTTGGGTTGTGAGTGTCGGTGCGTGCACATTATAGGGTGGCCCGTCAATGGAAGGGATCAAATAATAAGTCTAATTCTTGAATAATTTGATCATACAAAAGGTGGCCCATCAATTGAACGGTCATGATTAATGATTTCTCATTTCCCCTTTCTTTTCGTTTCCCGAAGGAAAAAACATGATCAATTACTCCAGGCAATACTCCACATCATGCACACGTATATTTTCTATTAAATATAGAAATTACAATATCTAGAAAAGGAAAAGATGAATATAAATATGAATCAAAAGTATTCAAGCCATCCCTTAACACAAAACCATGGGCGCTCTAATAACTTACCATCTCGTAGGCTTTTCATCAAATTCTGTTATATTCAATTCAACCAGTTTTCTATCAGTTTCAACTGATGCACATAATTAGAATTCTGGCTCCTGATGGAAAGAATCAAGTGTTCCAATTCTCTGTCTCTGCCTACTAATTTATTCCATTAAATAAAAAATTTCTTATGGCGATCCACTTAAACAACAACTAAACGTACAATCTAGTCGATTTATATAAGAGTATGTCTGTATTTTAATAAATTAAAAATTATGAATTGCATGCGTGAAAATGATAGCAATTCATATTATTTTCAAAATAAAATTAGCATAAATTATGATAACTTATTATTATTATTCAAAACAATATAACTAAATACATTCTGTGAGCGCCTACTGTGTCTAACAGTTGAAACAGGGCCATTCCCATGCCGCGCTTGGGGCCCACCAATTTAATAGAGTCAACTGAGACCTACATTTTTGGTAGCACAGTTTGAGTATTAGCCATTATAAATGTGAGAAGGAAGCCACATCAGAGACCAAGGACCCATGGGACCCACAAGTTGCCACATGGCCCACATCCAAAGGTACTATTTGAGTGGGACCCACAAGTCAATATAGATCCAACAAATGCAAATTGGCTGGGTAGTGGGACCAAAATATCTTATCGGGTGTGATTCTAGAATCATGGAATATGTTGGGCATTCATCTCAGTCCTGATCTTCCGAGTCTCAAGCTTGTGAGATGTGTGGCACGTATGGAGGGGTCAGACCAGACCTAACAAGTGGTCGGTCCTGTGGTCCAGACCGGCATGTTGATGGTCAAAGCATGTTGTCGACAGGGTCTATTGAATGGTGGGCCCTGATCAATTTTGGTAAAACACGTGTGATCCGTGTTCAAATATTTGGGCTCAACTACCGTCTCCAGAAATGAAGAGGAAGCGACACACTACGACAGGGATCCCAAAGAAAGCCGTTACAAATTTGGACTCTTTTGAAACTAAACGGTTCACAGTCCACGTGGCCCCAAGCTGCCGAAAGTTCTCTCATGTGGGCCCATTACTTTTAAGTGACAATAGATGCAATTCAAAATGGGGGCCCATTCCTATTGTCATGATCTCCTACAGCTCTGCTCCTCTGCTTCGTTTTCAAGTCAAGAAAGTATCGATTGCCTCCTCCAATTCTCCTTCTGGATTGCACCCAGGGACGTTTCTTTTGTTTGACTCCTCTCAGGTCTCAGGTCTCTAGGTCTCAGCACCACCACGCCTTCTTACTATATTGACTCTTGTTCACGGTGTTTTCGCGTACCATCTCGTCTCGCTGCTTCCAGGGCCGAGGGAAACAGAACAAGTGAGTTATCACCTGGATTTCTTCTAATTTTCACTTCTATTTTCTAGTTCGATTCTATTTGTTTTCAGTTGGGTCGTTGGTTTTTTACACAACCATGTCTTTTTCTGATCTGGTTTTTTGCTGGTTTTTCGAATTTTGAAGTGTATCCAAAGGTGAAGGTGAGGAATTCAGAACAAGAGAAAAAACTGATCGAACAAGAGGAGAGAAGTTTGTTGCTTTTGAAGGTTTTGGAATCCCTCTCTTTACAGGAAAATCCCAGTGTTCCTTCCATCATCAATTCAGGTATTTGCTCATCATGGAATTTTGGAGTTCGATTCTTNACCCACCCACCCTCGGTTAGAGTGACCAAATTGACTTGTGAGTTTTGAATATTGGGATATCTGTATATTTCCAATTTAATACTTTAAAAAAAATTCTAATTACTGGAAAGCAGGTTTCATCCCATGCTCTTGGAAAAATTGGAGGGTTTTGTTTCTTTCATTCGTTTTTCTTCTTCTTTTTCCTTTTTTCCCCATTTTAGAGGGGGTTTCTTTTGGTGAGCTGTTGATATATCTCTCTCTAAAAGAATATATTGACTTGGCCATTTTCTTAGCGTTAATGACGAGCGGTCCACATGCTACACATTGTGTTCATATTATTAACTTGCATGATTACATGTCTGAAGATGATAATCAATTATCTTCCAGAAGTAGGAACCTTTGTTAATTTCCGTRGAGTTAACAATACATGTAATATTTCCGAAATTGATTTGATACGCATATATTTCCTCACTTCAATTAAGTTATGTCTGAGTGATAAGAAGAATTATCTCAAACCAAAAGAACATGTGAAATAAGAAGAATCATCTTCACTCTTCAGTAATGATTAAAGACAGATGAATTCCTAACATCTGGATATCTTGCACATCTCCAAAATAGTCGACAAGAAACACTTTTTATTGGAAATATCATTAAGATACAACCTCGATTTTGTGGGCATGAGGAGACAGCTTCCAATGCCATACCTTCATAGTTGTTGTTCAGTTAAATTCTTGCAGATTGATTTGGATTATGGCATGCTCATGTTTTAAGAAGGCCCTCAACAACCCTTGAAACTTTGGGGAGGAAAAAAACAACAGGCTCTCATCCGGCTTTGGTCTCATATTGATTACAACTACAAACATCAAATGCTTGTAGCCAGGGTCGTTCTGGATTGCACCCAGGATCGTTTTCAAGCAGCCATTCCATAATTAAAGACTCATCAGCCACAATTCTCCTTATGTTTCTGCTTTATTTCCTTCAGAAATTCTTCTTTTTTCTCTCTCATTGTAGCCGAGCACATTGCAAGTGGAACTGAAATCCAGAAAATTTTTGCCATATTGCAGGCCACTTTGGGAAAAAAAAGAAAAGGGGGAAAACCTTCTTTAGATTAATTAGGTCATCATGCTGATCCCATATGGTTGGGATAAGGCTGATGATGATGACAATTAATTAGATCATCATTCTTGGATTTTCTAAACAACCCTGCAAAGAATTTCCACAGAAATTCTGCTTGTCTACAATTATTAAGTGTATAACTTGATTCCTTGTACTCCCCCCACATAACACATTGGCTTGCTAAATGGAAACCCCTGTTTTTTAAATGATCCACTGTGAGAACACTACCCAAGGACAGAAACCACATGAAAGCTTCTCTCAGAAAAATAGGATTCCCCACACACCAATATCGGTTTCCTCAACTTCTAACCATGCATAAAATGACTCTACAGTAAACACACCATTAGCACTGTGCTTCCACCATCTAGCATCTGGCGAAGATGTCAATTATTTCTGATGCTTGGTGATATTTCACCATAAATAGAAACCCCTACCATAGACAATGCCATTTATGGTAACATGGTAATATTTGATTTTATTTTTCAATGAGAATAAGCTTTTAGAGTATTGGTGACATTTTTTGCTATCATTATATGCAAATTCCAATTAAGAGGGTCATCTTCAGTATGCATCATATTCTTTACCAGATAGCTTAGATCAAGATTTCCTGATGCTCTCATCCTATTAAGTGATTTTTTACATCATATTCTTCACTACATTACCATATATTTCCAGTATTGTTTGTCTCTTTCATGTTGAAAATGCTTGCATGGTTCCATTTTCCATTGCCTTTCAGTTTAATAAAAGGTCATTACCCAATGTTGGTGCCAGCTATGATTAATCAAAAAAAAAACAAAAAACAAAAAAATGTTGGTGTCAGCCACCTGGGGTCTTTCAAGGGGTAGACTATGGTCCTAACAATTGGCTTTTTTCTTGGCACAATGTGGTCACCCTCAGACTCAAACCCACGCTCACACTTGCCAACGTGAGATTTATCATGCTAGTAATAAAGAAAGGATGAGATGAGATGATATGCAGGGAGTAATTGCCATATTCATTAGCTATAAAAAATAATATACAATCAATTATGTAAAGTTTACAAACATATAAAAAATGGGTCTGGCTATGACACTGCAATCTAACCAGAATAGCAAAAATGGGTTTATTTCCAGTATTTTTCCTTTTATTTTTATTTTGTTGGTGGGGATGATCAGGGGGTGGATTAATTGGATGTGTGCATGAACTCATCTTGAGGACCATTTGATCCACCATTTCAGATATCATTCAAGGCCCACATTTCCAGTGCTTCCAATACTAGAATGAAGCTTTTCCAATTCTATTTTACTATTTACCTTAGTTTTAAGTGCTTAGAGTGGTAGTAACCTTGTGTAATTTTTTTAACTATATGCACCTTACTTACAGGGAAAGACTCTGGAAATGATTTGCCAACGTTAATTGCAAAAATCCCTAAGTCTTACATCCCAAAGTCAGCTACAGCATCAATTTCAGCATCCAAAGGTATCATTTTTCTTCAATGTAGCTTTGAGCAAAACAAATATCATTTTGTTCTATATTTGCATAGATATGTTGTGATATCATAATATATTTTCTTTTTTTTTTTAAGAAAAATCCCCTGCTAATGTCATTCCAATTTTACATCTTGATTGGCAGAGGAACATAAAGACATGAAAGGGATTGAAGAGGATAAACCCAATATAAGAGCTAGTGCAGTTCCACGTCCCCGTGCTGTCTTGTCTAGTCCTGGTATCTCTCTTTACTTTCCCACTGTTTTTCTTATTGCAAATGCTTGTAACCCTTTAAGTATGAATGACCCTTTCTATTACTAAATTATTTTCTTAATTATAAATATCCAAATGAAATACTCCCCAATATACATCTAGTGTTGGGTATATGAATTAGCACCTTAGCCTGAATAGATTGGTGAAGTGATACCAGTTTGAATTCAAATCAGCCCCCCACAACGTCCCACAGCACATCCCCGCCGTGTATTGGAAACATCTCCCGATGATAATACCCAGAATGATGATGTCATTATCGGGAGATGTTCCTAATACACTGCGGGGATGTGCTGTGGGACATTGTGGGGGGCTGATTTGGTCTCTACCAGTTCCAAATGACTGAGATTGACCTGGAATCAATAGAACCAACCAAACTTGAAGGCTTGATTAAGTCCATCTTTAGATAGAAAATGTTAGATGAATCTCAAATGCTGATTGAAATAATTGATGACAAACCATCCCAAATTCCCAATAGAACATATCTAAGCAGTGCTAATAGAGACTTGTTTTATGCTTTTTTACTGTTTTCTTACCATGAGTTGCTACAAATCTACCAATTGAGATTGCAACACCATTTCTCATTGCATTGCATTCCTTTTATTCAAGCGTATCACACTTTTATCTGTTGATTTATTTGCATAAATCAACACAAGAGAGGTTCTCACATAATAGAATGGCATTCCTTTAAGTTTAATAAATTTTAGTTTGCAAAAACTGTTAATTCCTTCAATATGGCTGGTGATTGTGTTCATTTCATTATCTAATTTGGAATAGTTAAGGTTGCTAATCTGTTATATTTCCTTCATCGGGTTCAGATAATGATGGGATGATTGGCCATAGAAACCGGTTACCCAGTGAGAGGACATCAATTTTGAAAAGGCATAATTTGGGACAAGATGCATCTCCCCAAAGTAATTTCAGGTGCATTAGATCAGCAAGTCCCATAAGCACAAGAAGAGGAACCAAGGAAACTACTGATAATATGGTCAAAACAGAAAGTCCTGCAAATGTGAGAAGAGGGGCCAAGGAGGCTACCATAAACAATGTTAAAGTGGACAGTAGCATGATCACAAGAAGAGGGTCCAAAGAGGCTACTGATGCTAAGAACCATTTTAGTGGAAAGAAGGGTCCAGAGCCAACAATTCCAAAGCAGAATGGGTATCTTCGAAAAGGAAAACCAAGCTCCATTGGAACTTAAGTAATCAATTTTGCAGTTGGACTAGACCTCTTAAGGAACTCATAGTCTATTTCAAAGCTCTTCATTGTGATTATAAGCCATGTTTCGGTCACTTTCACTTCCACATGTAYGTGTTTTTATCTCTGTAAATGGCTTCCCGAGATAGGTTGATCCAGTTGTATGTATTTTCTTAACCAACAAGAACCAGATTAGAAAGCCATCTATATGCCATAATTTTTCCCTTGATTTCACCAATGTATGTAGCTATCCATTTCCTTTTCCATCTGAGACCATCAATTTTGGTAGAAAGAAAAGAGGAGCAATTGAATGCATGATAAATTTCATAAAATTCTTCTGATGATACTGCAAGGGAATGTGATTATCCTGAAATTTTTAGTTAAGAACCCATTTTTTTTATGATTATATATTTCTGATCAACACTTCAACCTTCACAATTCTGCATGCGGCCAGTTCGCACATCCCAATCACAAAGACTGATACCGACTTTCACAGCATAACAACTGTCAAGCTGTTTTACCTCCTGGTCTTGTAAAACTTGGAATTGGGACTATATTACCCGGCTAAACTAAATATGCAACTCACTCCTTGATGTAAGAAAAATTAGACATTTTCACTTTCACAGTTTCATCTTCTTTTCCATTTCTTTTCATCTAAATCAAAGAGATTTGGGGGGAAATTCCTTGCGAGATTTCCCTGCCAACTTTCTTTTTCTCTCTCATTTTCCATCAAACCAAGCAAATCTATAAGGACACTGCAATTGGGTTTACAAGATTTTTCGGATTAAACAGTTGTTTTCCTGAAAGTAAAAACAGAATTGGTACAAGGATACACGGGTTCCTAGCCTCCATGAAATGATGATAAAGTTGTTCCCTGTTTTGACAATCACGGTTCCATTTTGTAGATAGAAGATTTGAAACCGTAACTCTTTTTCACAGGCTACAACCATGACCATGCACCATCCACCTGAATCTGTGAAACACCAAAAGGGACGGAGTCAGAAATAGGGGGGCCAAAAACTAAAGTGGATGGGGATGGGGATGGGGGAAATTTACATGAAAGTGCACCTCACTTGCAATGCACGACCTAAAACATAAAATTTCAATCTGTAAAAAATTATTATGTGTTTGGATCACTAAACGCCTACTCATTGGGGGAAATGTTAAAATAAAACTTAATTAAACGATTGGCATGCACATAAGTCAATACTTACTTTTGCAAGTCTCTATGCATACAGATCCCATAACGAGGAAGATGTTGAAATAACACCTATATAAGTTTGTTTATTCAATAAATGCCCATGATTCCAAACACCAAATTAATTATACTTTCCCTGTATTACCACCAAAACTTCGATTTTTCAACTCAAACTAGTACCGCGGATCCTCCTTGGAGGATGCATAGGAAAGGATCAATTATAAGGCCAAGGATGCCCCCTCTTAATCACGTTGAACGATTTCAATTCAAATAACTTACAGCTTATGTCAGTCAACCTCAGATTCAAGCCTGTAAAAATAAACCACCTAAAAACTTATGTTAACCCTGTAGATAGCAGAGGTCGTCAAACGTAGACAGCCAATTTTTTCTCCCCAAAGAACAGCCCTGCTGTCCACATGACATCAAAAGTCAAAACAAGGTTGTGCGGTTGTGCCGTTGAGATCAGATTTGCAAATTGCAACCCAAGGGCTAGAGTGAGGGTGATGAAGCAAACACGAGACCCTTTCAGTCTACTGGATCACCCTATCTGGTTTCCAAAATGATTCACGAACTTGTGTATATCGTAGTGTAATAACCCTCTTTAGTATTGCACCCATGGAAACAATAATATACCTTAAACAAGAATAGGATAATAACTAGAAGCAAAATAGGTGATAAAAGAGATCAAATAAAACATTATTTTCCCATAGATTGGTTCTGACTGCAAAAGAACTTTGCATTGTACGTCTTTCGTACAATACTTCCCTAATTAAGGTCGTGTACAGCACCGTGTAAATCTCGTGGATGGACCATTTCAGTCTATGCCACGGGACAAACACGGTGTTCGACTGGTCATGAACAGGACCAGTCCACACTATATCATAGACCAGCCCTGTCCGCACCCCAATTTCTCAACCATGACAATTTCACGTGGTTTGTTTTGTTCCACGATTTAAGTTTGATCCCATGCCTCACACTCCCCCAAAACCCTACTCTGTTTATCATTTTACCATTGGAAGTCGCCACCGGCAGCTGAAGATCTCTACCTCTCTCCTCCCCCGAAGCTCTCCTCCAACAAAGCTCTCCACCACTTAAGCACTCCTCCGCTACAGCTCTCCTCTATCGCAGCTCTCCTATGCCGCATCTCTCCTCTACTATAGCTCTCCACCGCCGGTATGTTGAATTTTCTCAGTTGTTAGCAACTAAGATCTTATTGTCATTAGTTACACAGTATACTCCAAAAACAAGTAGATTACTGTTTTTTTGTATGGTTAAACTTCAATAGTATGATAATTTGGTTTGAATGGTTCAAACCCATTAGTTAAAAAGATTACAGAATGAGATCYTATTGCCATTTTTCTAAACAATGGTTCTAAAATGAGCTTAAAATAACATTATTTTAATATTCTTGTCAATAAAATGTTAATTATTTTACTTAATTTTAATGTTTTTATCAATAAAATAATATTTTTAACTTTTTAAATTATTTTACTATTATTTTTATAAAAAATAATATTTATTGGTTAATAATTCATTGATGCATTTTTCAATATATTTATCACATAAAATGCAAAAATTAACTATTTATGATTAATTGTATATATCATTCATAAAATGTATATGAGATACATTGAATCAAAAAGTGTGGTATGGACCCACCCACACCACGCATACAAAATGCCACTATGCGTGTGGACTGGTACAGTCCACAATTCAGAACAGTTGTGGATTGTGGTGTGGTATGGATTGGTCCCTGCCACAAGGTGTGGTGTGAACTAGACCAGTCCACACCCACCAATTTATCACCCACACTACAGAACACCCTCCAAACCATAAGTTTCCTAGTTCCTAGGCAAAGCTGAACTGAGTCAATTACAACCTTGGGTCTGCCCATAAGTCTACTGAATCAATGTATCACATTATAAAAAGCTGCAACTTATACATTATTAACAACTGAGTGTAACCACTTGAGGACAATAAAAGATGAAAAAGAGGTCCTCATGAAAACGGAATATTCCACAAAATAACCCGTGTCAAATTGTACTGGCTCCTCTGCCAATGATCAACTGGCTGCTGCAGCACCTTTCTTCCTTGGAGTTGCTTCAGTTCCTATATAGATGCGTGAACGATCTTTAAAATACAAGCACAGCAAACCAAAAATAAAAAAGGTAGAATAAACATGAACCATAAGATGATCATTTCTTGTGACAATGGGAGATAATCAGATCATACATTCTCTGAAGTTGCTTCTGAATCTTTGAGACACACATGACAAAGATACCTCATCCTTCCTGTGCCAGTCGTCTTTCTTCTTAGGGACTTCACACTCCAATTATCTCATTTCTCAAGCTAATTAGAAAATAGAACCCCAATAGCCAAGTTTGCAACATGATATGTTACCAATTTAAAAATAAAAATAAGATACCCCAGTTTTGTAACCTTCACAACAAGAGAAACCAAGGCTGTGTTTGGTTTGAAAGAAAAGATGGGGAAAGGTAAGGAAACTTGTACAGTACAAAGAGATTTTTTTTTTCTTTTGCCCTTTCTACTCTTTTTTTTACATTAAATACAGCAACAGCTACACACCTTTTCTTTTCTCTTTTACTTACTCTCTATCGTAATTTTTATTTTATATAAATTATAGTATTCTGTAGTTGCCAATTTGATAATGAAAGAAAAAGTGGGTATCCATTTTATATAGCAATAATTCCAAGTGCAGGTCCCAACTAGCTTCAATCTGAAAATAAGAAGCCAAAATAAAGGATCTAGACAACTACAACTACATCAAATATATTCTCCAGTGAAATCTATTCAGTTTACAATATCACCACTCAAATGGCATGCTCCCCCAAAAAGCCTCATCACCTTGTGACTCCCTCTCTCTTTGTTAATGGTTTGAACAAAAGATCCTTTGATTGTTCTCCTCTGGTGTGGCCTTTGCTGTATGATAATTATGGTATTGCTGATATCTATCCCAGGTTTCAGTTTTGCAGGATGGCAAGCTAATGGGGCTGCACATCTCTTGGCTTCAAAAGGCGCTGTTGGTGATTGGTTCACCCCCCCCCAGGCCCAAGTGGCTTGTTCCAGTTCTGAGTTCTGATCATGCTCGTGCTGAGGATAGGAGATCCTCCCACCCCCTTAATTTTCTCCATTATGTTGCTTTGTGTGTTTTCTTTTCTGGTTTGTTATCTTTGATGTAAGTCTTTTCTACCAAAAAAATGCCCTCACCCAAAATTTTATATCATCAAAGCAGTCGATACTCAATGCAATCAACTTACCCCTTGGCAACTCTACTGTAGTATCAACGACCAATATAAGAATCTAGAAACATCAACAATGATGACTCATGTTGCTTAAATTGATAATTCACCACATGCCAGGTTGGAATTAATTGGGTCAATCTTGGGCATATCATATGCCATATTATCAATTCAATTAGATAATCACAGCTACCAAATTCTTTCACTTGGCCAATGGTAGAAGTCATGTACTCATGTAGATAAGAAAGTACAAAAACAACCCAGTTACAGCTCCATATTACCCCACCCCGAGCAATCACACCACATGCAGACACTCCCTGGACTCAAAGGCATCATCTACGTAAATCCCAAATCAAATAAACAGATAAGGGGTGCTCTCAAGCGTGATTTTCTTATCAGTTCTATAAACGATTTCACACCTGGTTTGAAAAGACATTGGTTCTTGAAACAAAAACACAGTAAAAGAATGAACTTAGCTATGAAATGTATTTCTTGTTTCTATAACTGAAACCAAAAACGAGCCATTAAATTTCTGGTTTGAACCTCCAAAAACATGTTTTCTTCTGGTGGTTTGATATCATGTTTACAATGTTCAAATAGAATTTCTGATAAAGTGGGTGTTAGTTCACTTTCCTTGTCCATTTAAATGCGGGATGCGGGGGGTATTATCCGTAGAAACTTTAAAGAAGCACCTGTAAGAGGGACATTTTGGTTTGTGTGCCAGGCGTCAAATAAAGAAACAACACTGATTCAAATAAATTAAATAAGAAAAAAAATGCATCAGAAACTAAGACTGGATTGCATACATTTGCGCAGACGAGCGGCGGGAAATCCACAAGCAGCGCAACAGCTCTTCTGGAGGTGATAGCTGCGTCGACCACAACGCTGACACAGCGTATGAGTCTTGTTCCTTCTCTTCCCAAAACTTGCCGTGCCTTTGCCCTGTTTCAATTACTAAACAATTAATTGAAAAATAAAACAGAGTTAACAAGATCTATGATTAAAAGACGACGAACTAAGTCTAGAGTTGGGGTTTCTGGAAGAGAGGGTTGGAAACGGACTTGCCATAGTCTTTTTTGCAGTTGTGTTCTCTATAGGTCGCCCCTTGGCGGTAAAGGTTGTCTGAGCGACGATGTCTTCGAACTCAACTCCCTCGCCGAAACCCTAGCAACTGCCCTCGCCTTTTATCCCCTATGCGGTGAAATGATTCGGTGTATTGGTAATACCATATTTAGAGGAAGAGTTAGCATTTCTTGTTCATCTTAACCGTTCAAACAGCATCGTTTTCTTTTCACACTGTGTTAATACCAATTCAATATGTAACAGACAAGTCGCACCACCAAACCGATGAATTATCCATTATCTGATCTTAATTAAGGAGGCGTTTGGTAAATGGTAAATCATGGTAAAAATATATATGAACGGGGGTACAAAAGTAATTTGATATTTAAAGAACGGTAATAATGGATTTGATACACGGGGGCTTACTCCAGCTGCAATCAGAAGTGATGTGTTTAGATGAGCTTGGTTCTCCTTATTACACCCCCGAATTAAGTTCATTGATATGCGAATTTGCAACATAAATGAGGATGAATCAACCGGCTAGTTGGTAATTACTCTAGCCGTTTGTAGGTTTGTAGGAGAAACATGGAAGAAATGAGACCGGATTTGTTCCTCACACCTTGCGATTCACACGCACATCCTATCGTGCATTGAGAACATTTCCCATACTTATTAGTTATTATTTACGGGAGATGTTCTCAATGGTGGATGTGCCTGTGAGGCGGGCTTGCGTTCTATATACCCGTGGGTGTACTGGGCGATTGCACCCGTGAATGGCGTCTCGACACGTCGACTGGGGTAACATTAACGTTTAAATGCATGTTAATGCAATCTGTTTTGATTCTCGAAAAAATGAATCGATTCGCATAAACACGAACCAATCGAGTGTTCAATCAAAACCCCCTTTTTTCCCAGTTCCTTCGACTATGTGCATAGTTCCTTCACCCCTTTCTCTCCACCAGATCCTACCCCATACAAAAACCCTTGTCCATCGGCGACAAAAGAGCGTCGGTGGCAAACCAATGGCGATAGATCTTTGGCGGCGAACTGACAGTGACATATCATCCTTCGCTTCTTCTTCGGCTCTTTCTTATTCTTCTTCTTCGTCTTCTCCAGTGTAGCTCCTATCTAAATGACAAGCAGGTAAAACCGAATTTCTTTAGAATCCTTATTATCTCATAAGTAAAATTTGCTCTAGAGTTTTTAAAAATAAATAAAATATAACCTCCACCTTGTTTTTAATTTAATCCCTCACTCGTTCGGAGATTCGTCTCGTGGGCGTGGATCTATATTTCTGTTTTTCTCTCTTAGTATTTCAGAAAAAAAAAAGAACCACACACATACAGAGTCATACATGCAGACGAACACAAAAACTGGAACATAACAGATTGATAACTTTCCGTTGTGTCAATATATCCACTTATTTTGTGTTACTTTCATGCATTAAGTTGTGTCAATATTACCAAGGAACCAGGCAAACAATTAGCATCTTTGAGGTCAACATTTCTGAGTTGCATGGTGAAGGATTTATAAGAATTTCCTCATTCAGATGAATGATTGTAGTCCTTACAATTCTCTCACTTTTTGAGTTTAGGTCCCTTGTACAGTGGCTAACTTTTTGAATGATCTTTAGTGTTAATTAAGCTTCGTTTGTTTGCAATGCAAATTTTCACTGGCATTGGAGTAAATGCATGAGAGTGCAAATATAGGTGTTGAATGCAAATTTTCGTTTATTTTTGCTTTAGGTTTGGCTTTGTCATGTTTGTTTCTGAGAAGTAAAATGATGTTATCCCCATTTTGTATGAAAGAGAACAGAGGCAAGAGGAGGGTTATTTCTTTTGAGAGTGTGGTTCTGGTTTAAGGTGGTTGGAGGGTGCATGTTTTTCATCAATTTTCGGGATGCAAAATGTGCATAGTTTGAAGACAAGGGATTGCATCAACTATGGTCAACTCTATCGTTAGCAGTTGTTGCTGCATAATTTGGTGCCTCAAGTTTTTGTTTTCTTTTGGATACTCAAATGGTATCCAAAAGACTTAATTAATGAAAAGAGAATATTCAAAGGACTAACTATTATCATTTTTTTGGTGATGTAATATGCTTTGATACCACCTTCAAAACCAATCGGGATCATCGACCATTTGCACCATTTGTTTGTATTAACCATCATAGGAAAACAGTAATATTTGGTGTTGCATTAATATACGATGAGACAATTGAATCATTTAAGTGGGTTTTTTAAGCATTCTTGAATGCAATGGGTGGCAAAATACCAATAACAGTTTTCCCAGAGGTTAATCATTCAACATGTTTTTCCAGAGGTTAATTATCGCCTTTGTATTTGGCACATTTATCAGAATGAAGTTAAACACTTGTCCAATGCATTTTGTGTTTCCAAGACATTCGAGAAAGATATCAGCAATTTRATATATGACTACGAAGAAGATGATGAATTTCTAAAGGCATGGGAAGAAATGCTTTATCAATATGGTTTGAAAGAAAATACATGGTTGAAAAGATTATTTGAGCTAAAATAAAAGTGGGCATTGGTTTATGGGAGATCCTACTTTACTGGTAACATGAAGAGCACTCAAATGAGTGAAATAATGAATAGTTTATTGAGGGGTTATTTGAAATCATCACTAAATATATCTTGATTCATAGAACACTTTGAAAGGGTTGTGAGAGATAGACGCCAAAAGGAATTAGAGATGGATTTTAAGATGATTCAGAGCAAACCCCATTTGAGCATACGGTTACCAATTCTTGAACAATCTGTTATGGTTAATACCCCCACAATTTTCAAAGAATTTGAGAAGGGGTACCACAACTCTATGGTTTGCTTTATAAACAACAATCTGTTATGGTTTGCATGATGTATTATTTTCACCATTGGATTTATTAGTTTCATGTAGTTGTAGAAATTTTGAGTTTACGGGGCTGCTTTGTTCTCATGCATTGAGGATGCTTTATAAAAATAGGGTAATGCATATTCCATCTCAGTACATATTAAAACAATGGACAAGAGAGGCAAAAGATGAGATTGCAATAGACTATCATGGTTGTGCAATTAATCTTGATCCTAACCATGGACATACTATGAAGGCAACTAAACTGGTGAGGGTTTCACGAGACATATCTAACCGAGCGGCAGAAAATGAAAAAGCTTATCAGTTTGCATTGAAGGTGTTCGAAAAGATTCGTAATGGAGTTGATAAAATAATAAAAGCAGATGTTTCAGCTAATGCACAGACTGCTCATTCTCTTAATGTCGAAGATGACTTGGATGCATATCTACAATATGGCAGTCAACAAGGATCTTGTCAACTAGGTGACGTTGTTAATTCACAAAAGGAAGGATACACTAACAGAATTCATATTGCAGTACCAGTTCATGATCTCACACGCAAGGTGTCGGGATTTGCAAAGAAGTCCAATAGTGGTACGACTAGTCGTGGTGGCATAATAAAGTAGCCGTTTGAGGAAAAAAAAGAAAGGTAAAAAAGAATCCCGACTCCAACCACAAAATCCAGCTACTTCGACAGTTGAAATCCAACCTTTGGTACATCTTACTTCGGTATTATCCTAACTCATTTGTGCATTTTGTAGCTATTTTTACTAATATATATTTTTTGGTTATAGTTTATTTATTTATGTATATGTCATTTCTCATATGATAGGAATCACATGGTGTTGGTCCAAGCATGCTTCAGTTAGATAGAACATGTCAACCATATGACACCATTAGATTGGCAGATACCGTAGATCTTAATCAGTTTGCATCCCAAAACCCTATCAACATGATGGACTTCCTACATGCTTAAGGCACATTTCAACAACAAACAAGCCAGGTATGTATGAAGTTAAATATAAAAGTTGTGAAGATAAAATAAGTTTTTTTTAAATGATTCAACATTTTTCTTATTTGTTGTAGGAAAATGTTATAGATTCACAAAACAAGTGTTTTGGAGGATACCAACCAACGTCTCAAGATAGGCAATAAGACCATTCTGGAGAATTTGTGAAAGGTTATTATAATTTGTGAGAATTTGTGTCTTAGTCTTGCAACAAAGTCTAAAATGGATTTAGTTCATTTTCTTCTTTGAAATATTCAGTCAAGTGACAATTATTGTTTGGAATGTTTGTTCAAACAAGGCTTTCTTGGGAGCGTGAGTAGCTATTGTGTTCATCATTGCAAGTGTCTTGTTCTTGTAGTGAAGAAACAAGAAGTGAATGTTGGTTGTCAATGTCTTGACAAGTTGACATATTAAGTCAATTTGAAAGTTTGAATAGTTTTAGATCTATTGATACTATTGTGCCTAGAGATTTTACTAAAATCAAGCCAATATTGAAAAGGTGGAGATATGAGGACCAATCTTCATGGTTTATTGATTTCTAAGAAAAAATCAAACTGTTATAGATGAATGCATGGTCACATAATGGCATTCTTACAAGCCTATTAGGGGCTTTAAAAACAAGCTAGCATGGCAAGTTGCTAACTTGCTATTGATCTGGTGTAGAAAACACTGAAACAAGAACTTATTGGTTCGGAACCATGAACCATCTGGTTCGATCAAGCAGAAAACACTGTATTTGTATCACTATTACAAAAGCAAGAGCTTCCACTAATAAATACTAGTGGAAAATACATGCAACCTATACTATGACAAATTAAACATGGAGACTTTAAGTTCTTTGTATAAAGTTTTGTTTGATTAGTTATTTTTCTACGTCATTATAAAATAAAGCTTTGAAAATTGGAAATCATGAACAGTAAGACCACTAGAAGAACTGTAGGGAAGCAAGCACACATTCATTCCAAAGTCCAAACAAGAACAATAACAACAATTCCTTGTTATGTGGCTGCAAGTTTCAAAGCTAGAAATTAAGGCTCATGTGACAGCTTAGATAAACTATTTGAAAAGGAGATTCCTGGTTGGACAAATACATGATCGATGTCTATATCCACAACACTTTTATCCTAACTTTGAATTACAATGTCTACCAAAAAAGAAAAACAAAAAGTTTTATTGCCATTTTATGAAATGTCCTGTAAAAATTGTAACTTGGACCAACTCCGACTTAATTACATTTTGTAGAAGAGCTGTTCAATC